CCCCAAAACCCCAAAACCCCAATGAACAAAATTAATCAATGGCATTATATATTAGTTATTGAATTATATATCTGTAAAATGTAATTATCACAAGCGACATCACCTTCAAACCCAAGAGTTTACTTCGATCTTGAAATAGGTGGTTAGAAGGCTGGAAGAGTAGTTATGGAGTTGTTTAAGAATGTCTGCCCCAGATCTGCAGAAAATTTCAGATAATTATGCACTGGAGAATCTGGAAAGAGAAGCTCAAATGGCAAGAATTTCACCTTCAAGAATAGCTTTTTCCACAGGGTCATCAAGGGATTTATGATGCAAGGTGGTGATTTTACTCATTTCAATGGCACTGGAGGAGAGAGTATCTACGGTAGAACTTTCCCAGATGAGAATTTCAAATTAAAACATGAAACCAGAGGTTTATTATCAATGGCTAATGCAGGTAAAAACACTAATGGCTCTCAGTTCTTTTTGACTTTCACTGCCACTCCTCATCTTAATGGAAAGCATGTTGTTTTTGGAAGAGTAGAAAAAGGCTACGAAGTCTGCTAGAGAGTTGAGAAGCTTAAATGCAACGCTCAAGATAAGCCTAACGATAAAGTTGTTATTGCAGAATGTGGAGAGATTAAGCCAGAAGCTAAGAAAGAAGAAAAGAAAAGGGAAGAGGTAAAGGCTAAGAGCACTACTGAGGAGGTAAAGAGTTCAGAGAAGAAAGTTCCCGAAGAAAAGAAAAGAGAGGATAAGGAACCTAAGAAGAGAAGTAGAAGCAGAAGCAGAGAGATACAAAGAGGTTAGAGAAGAGAAAGTAACAATGAAGAAAGAATTAAAGAAAAAGATATAAAGCATCACACTGATAGTGCCAAAGAAGAAGGAGTAAAAAGAAGAGAAAGCGATGCCGATCGCAAAAGGTCAAGAAGCAGAGAATGAGTGTATTTATTATTTAAATTTGTTATAAAATAATCATCATAAGTTGCGTACTGCGTTGTGGATTCACTTGCCTCCAGCTCTTCTCTTTTCGACCATACTCTTGACGGATCTACGTCTGTTTCTGAGGAACTTTGGATCAACACCCTTAAGAGAAGCGTATCTTTGTCTCTTGGGCTTTTGGATACCTCTTCTGTGGGCCTTTTTGTTCTGATTGTGATTTGTATGGTTCTTGCTCTTTGCCATGATATTTAATAATGCAAAATTTATTTAATAATTAATATATGTATATCCTCTTATCTTATCATTCTTATTATTCACACTTAAATTTAAGAGTCATTTATTCAATCATTTATTCATTTTAATGTCAGATAACCTCTCCCTTTACTTTAAGAAGCTGCATTGTATTGAAGCAAGTTTTCATTCTAAGGTTGCTACCCTCCCTTGACTCTAGTGTTATCTAGTCGCTTCTTACTTTAAGATTCATTTCTTTTATAGTACATAAGATTCAGATTATTCTGAGAAGGTTTGGCATCACTGAGATTATTCGTGGATTATAGAGGGGCCCTATTTTCACTTTCTTTTGAGAATGTTCTATGAGCTTACTTAAAAGTTCCAAGGGGGTTGAAGTTATTGAGTTCTTGAAGTACTTGTTTGCCGCTCATTTCTACTATCGATTGATAACTAGAAGATGACACGGCTGTGTTTTATATCTGTTGCTTTCTCTTGCATGATGTGCTACTACTGTCTTAGTGATTCTAATACTTTGGTGTTATATTACTCAATTTGTCACTCATGTGAGAAAGAACATTCGTTGATGATAGAATTTTTAGATTTTTCTTGGGACCAAGGGACTAAGAGCTTTAATTATTAGTCAAATTTTATGGTACTATAAGTTAGCCTGATATCTGAGTTTCATTTAATCCAGATTACTTTCTTTATAATGAGGAATGCATTGTTGCCCCCTTAATATTTGAAAGTGTAGCTTTTGATCGTTAATAAGCAGTCAGTGAAGTTTGCATATTTGTAGATTGGTTGCTATAATTTATGGATTACTGTCTACTTAGAGTGCCATTTATTTATTAGATACTTTGATTTTGCTGTCTGGGAGGTTTTTAGCAAAAAGACTACTAGACCAAGCCTTTATTGGAAGAAGAGTTATTATTAGAAGATGTTTCAATTATACTGAAAGGAGTTAGATTCAGATTCTGATTCTATTTTTACCTTTGATATAACGACTATGCTTTTGTTGAATTGTGAATATGTTCTTATGACTTCAAACAATTCGGGACTCCATGAATAGTATTATGTGAACTAGCACTTCCTAAGTTAGATGATCCATTTCTTGACTTGCTTTAAGTCATCAGCATTGATTGAGGTCCTGCAGATTGAGGTCCTGTAGAATTTATGGTATCCTACTACTAAGTATTACTAAACATTAAGCTATTCTAAATACTATCAGCTACTGAAATCATTGATGTTCTTTAATTAGTCGTCTAGTTATTATTGCTCATTGATGTTATGATATTTCCTGAATTATTTCTACTAAAACCCCCAGAGATCGTTTAGTTTATGATTTGAGCATTAACTATTGAGCCTTAGTAGCTATTTTCACTGATAAATGTATTTCTATCAGATTACTTTACTTTGCTTGGAGAACTAAATTATGAATTAGTTGAATAATTGTTGATGTTATTTTGAATTACTGAAGCAGTATTCTTGGATTGAATTGGAGAAAAATCTTTCATGAGATTCTTCTTTTAAGGATCATCTTTCGTTAGATAACTAGTGAATTTTTATAGAAATTTAGGTTTCTTCAGTGAGTTGTTATCAGGATTCTGACATACTTGGCTAATTAATGAATTATTTTCAGTGCCATTGTATTTTCGTTAATTATTGAAAGGTGTACTATCACTAGACTTGGTATTTGCCCTATTATTATTGAAGTAAGCTTTCACAGCTGTTTATTGCATTGTCATTATACCTGATGGGGATAGTGTTCCCTAAGTATAACTATCGAATATTCTTGAATTTAGATCATTAGCTCTAGTTATACTATTCTCTGTTGTGTTGTTTATCTTTATTTTATTAATCTTAGAATCCTTTTACCCTGGCTGTTCATCTAAATCCGAATCTTCGTCTACTCGACTAAATTCCTGAGCAATACTTATCTCTTCATCAATTATACTAGATTGATCGTGTCTCCTTAGAACAATTTGATTTTTACTATTACTTTTTTACATAATACTTTATGCATTTTATTAGATAGCTTAGGTTGCACCTCTCATATTTGCCAGAATTATATTACTGTTATGATTTATTTATCTTTGAGCTTTAGGAGGAAGTTCTCCTCTAGCCTATTACTTCATTTCTTCATAATTCTATGGTTTTATTTTACTCACCTATAACTAATTCTTTTTCTTTAATTATTCTTTTATTTTTTAATATTCCCTTATTTGTCTTTGGACTTCTTTTTCTTCTACAGGCTCGCTATAAAAGGAAAACCCTCTAAACATTTAATCAAGAGCTTTTTCAACTTCTTTGCTTCGAGGGCTTTTCATTAGTGCAGATTTATTAGCACTGAATTCAAGCAATTTACTTCTAGATGAATAAATATTAAGTTGATTGTTTTGAGTTATGTTCTCATGATATCCACTATGATGATTCTATAAAAATCCAGAATTTTCTGCAATTGTTGTTGAATCGTAGAAAGAAGTCATTGCTGAGTTGTCTATACAGCAATAGACACTTCTTTATATTTATCTTCTTGCATTTATCTTTGTTTGAGTGTATTCTGGAGAAGAATTTAAGTCTGTTAAGTCTAATGGTAATGAAGTATAATCAGGATCGAAATTGCTCTTAGTGATATCTGGCAACCAAGGTGGTTCAATTCTCTTTTCTAACATTCCTGGCCAATCAATATCTTTACACCATGGATGAGTCTTTATTTTATTGATAGAGTTAAATGATAGTCTCTATGCTTAGTCTTTACATAATAGCTTCTTTAGCAGATCAACTACCTACAGATTTAAGTAATCAGGGTAAGATAAGTTCGAATCAACGATATCTTGATACATTTACATTCTATCCGTTGAATAAAACGGTGGCAATCCAGTTAACATCTCAAATAGGATAGCCCCTAAGCTATAATAGTCAACAGCGAAACCATGGCCTTGTCCATTTAGCATTTCAGGACTCATGTACTCCGGGGATCCACAGAATGAGTTTGTTAGAGACATAAGACTTGGAAGATATTTTGATAATCCAAAATCAGCTAATTTGATATGGCCATCAATATCGAGTAGTACATTTTCTGGTTTTAAATCTCTATATACAATTCCTTTCGAGTGAATAAATTCGAGACCTAGAAGAATTTCCGCGAAATAAAATTTGGCTTGTCTTTCCTACATCCTACCTCTCTGATGTAATAAATAAAACAATTCTCCACCTGCACATAAATCCATCACAAAATTCAACTCTTGACTCTATATTTAGCAAGGGTAAATAAACGAACAAATTATTTACTGACTAAAATGCCCAGTGTAGTTTTACGATGAAAGGATGATTAAGTGTTTCCATTATTTACCTCTCACACATTACTTGTCTAAACTTTCCATCGTTCATTACGAAACTCTTTTCCATCACCTTCATTGCAAATAATAGGCCTGAGTCTTTTTTCCTAACCAGAAATACCTTGGAAAAACCTCCTTTGCCAATTACTTTTAGCAATTAAAAATCGTTCATGCACAATTTCTCTGTTTTATTCGGGATTATTTCTGTAATATGTTAAATTTTATGATTTTACTGGCAAAATGTATTTCTAACTATAGCCCATCCCATAGTGCATTTAAAGATCTGTTGTAGAGGGTTAGCCAAAAGTCCAGACTTTCGTTTTGAGAGGAACTTTTGATAGCCGCAATAATTTTTTTCTTTATTTTTATATGTGGTGGTTACTCTCCATGATGAACTATTCGTTGGCCTTCATGCTTGTGCTAATCAATAAGGTAAGCGTAGCGCCTAGTGACTTCTCCAATAAGCCAGCCACAAGTTAGTGTTTCATCTTCGATGCATATCTTAAGATCAGGAAGTCCTTCTTCCAATTTAACAATCAATTACTTTTTGCATAAATGACTTTACTTCATTGCACCTCCACCTGCACTAAGGGGACTCCCCTGAATATCATTTATTTTTATCAGTCTTGACTCCTGAACATCCTTTGAAGCATATTACACTATATATAATTAGTTTGATATTTATACTATCAAATGAAGTTTCTCAGAATATGTTAGACCTTTATAATGTTTAAGAGTTATTGTTGTCATCAAATATATTCTCAAGGAATGAATTTTTCATTAATTGTTCTCTGATACATTCCTCGTCTCGAGACTCTTCTTCATCTAGGGGTTCTTCCTGGGTTGCCAATCTCAACTGATGATAGACAGGCTAATAACAATGTCCAGCTACGAGAAACATTAAGAGCTAATGAGAGTACACATTAGAGCGGGAGGCTGAGGGTTAAAATATTACTTGTAAATATCATTAGTATGTTAGTTTCCCATTTTCGATTTAAATTTTTAATTCAACGTTGCTTACTTTATTTCAAATTATCTCCATTATGTCAAAATGCTCTATCAAGGGGTTTTGGGGTTTTGGGGTTTTGGGGTTTTGGGGTTTTGGGG